TCGAGTCTAAACCCAAACAGGCCAAACTTAAGGGTTTTGAACTTTTTCTTTACAATTACAAATTGCATTTAACAAAATACAATAGCGATGAATACGTCGCATTTCTTAATTGCGCTTTAAAAGTTGCATTTACCAAATACGCTTTATGAGTTGCGTTCTTCTTATTTAAAAGTCGCGTTCATCAAGTACGATTTATCGCATTCATATGTTAAGATTTATATTTTTTCTCTGAAATATATAAAGTATGTGTCTATATGTATCTGACTTATTTACTAGTCTGACTTTGTTTTTCTTGTGCCAGAAAGTCTATCGAAAATAACATTTCTACCTTCACAAATTAGGGGTAAGGCTGCATAAGCATTACCTTTTCTAGACCTCACTTGTAAAATTATACTGGGTCTATTATTATGGTTGTTACTGTTGTTGTGCTAATCTACTAGTATATGATTGTAGTAGGCTACTAGTATAAGGTTTTCAAAAAATTACTTTAGCAACACATTAGAAATATAAACATTTTATATGCACTCTTTGTTTTATTTTATTTAAAGAACACCATTTTTTTCACAAGATTCATCAAAACATAACCTTTGAGGAACAGTAAAGTTTGTAACACAGAAATAAAACTTGCACGTTCATATATCTTATGATCTAAAGTAAATCTTTTCAAGTTGTAGAACAAAACAATGCTTCCTTGAATTATCAAAGTAGATTTGGGGCATACACAATAGGGTGGACTTAGAAAACCTACAAGAAATATATAAGAAACTTTCTACAAAAGAAAATATAGTACAAGTAAAATAGACCCCGACCCTGGGGTAGAGAGGCTGTTTCCAAATAGACCCCCGACATTCTTCCCTTCAAGAACTTCTCACCTTGCTCTTGGGGAGACTCGAACTCACAACCTCTTAGTGGGATTATACTGGGTTGTTGTTGTTGTAGTACAAGTAAAAGGCAAAACAGCCTCTTTTTTGTCCATCTTTAACCTCCAACTCTATATCCGAGTACATTTTTCACAAGTCTATATTATACAACAACAACAATCTAGTATAATTCCACAAGTGGGGTATAGGGAAGGTAATATGTACGCAGACCTTACCCCTACCTTGAGGATAGAGAGGTTGTTTCCGATAGACCCTCGGCACAAGAAACAAGTCTATCCTATCTATTTATATTTCGTGGTTTTATCTTTCACATCCTATTCCAATTTACTTGGCCATTACTGCCAAAAAAGATGGTCAAATTTCATCTGAAACTTCACCAAAAATATATGGACATGATTCCCATTTACCAGTTTCTCTGGCTTCCCAATATCCTCCTTTATACTGATATGTATCACTACCTTTTGTCTTTGTAAACCACCTTGGTTTCCAGCCTCTTTCCTGCATCTTTGATGCCTGCATCATAATATCTTGTTATACAAACTATATCTGAAGCTTCAATATAATGTAATGGCAAATATACAGCCTCTGCCCTTAGGGTGAGCACACTGTGCGCCCTTGGTAAACCCCCATGTGCAATAGCCTGCAGACCACATAGGAGATATAAACCGCACTAGGCAAATCCTCTACGACAGGCTCAACCCAGAAGGATTTGAGGGGCGATTCGATCACAGGTCATCCGTATAGATAACCATTCTCCAAACCAACTGGGCATCCCCAAAGGGATGATTTTGAAATGTTAAATACCAATAATTTAGAACTGTTTCATGTACCAAGACTTGAAAATGAAACTAATATGTTACTCCAACTAAACTAGAGACATGAAACTAGCTACATTACCTGGCGTTGTCTCTTCTCTAGACGTAGCTTTTCTGAATTAGCAATTTCATACTCTCCATTTTCAAGATATCTTTGATCAGGTCTAAGCCTTGAATCTGTTGGAGGCAACTTTTCCTGCTGATAGAAGTAAAAGTAGCATATATAATCACCATGTGAGAGAAAAGTACAGCCAGATCTCTCTATAACAGTATCGCTATATAACAATCATTCACTATAAAAGTCATGTTTCTTTTGGAACCAGTATATGTTATCTATAACAACCAATAAAATCCCGAGGTTGTTATAGAGAAGTTTGACTGTACTATTTTTTGCATAAAGCAGAAGTATTGGTTACAGAAAAGACTATCAACTATAGTGTTTCAGTACCTCAAGATCAGGAGATAGCTCATTAAGGGTGATTGCAAAACGCGTAAAGTTATACTTTGTTTGGAATTCTGATGATTTGCGCCGCTTCCAAAGCAAATATGCCTTATCTTGTCCTAAATCCATCGATGAGCTATCCCCGTTACAGTAATACAAACTTTCATCCCATTTCCCAAACACAGTCGCCACTGTCTTTGGACTCCTATCTTGTACAACTCCATGTACCTGTAATGCAAATTTTGCATGCCTTAACTATCCTCTTAGAATAACATAATCCACTCAATGAATAGAATTGTCAATGAAAACTAAAGGAGGAATAGGTTTTATCAAAGGGCAGTGTTCGAAACAGGATTTGTTTAAGTGTCTATTACTGATAAACAAAAGAAGTAAAACATTATTGACACTGATAATGTGGAGATACTGCACCTGGTGTGGATTTCTATTCATAATGGACTGCTTCTTAAATTTAAGCTTGCAAGAGTAGTCGCCATTTCCTTCGATATGCATCATACCATAGTGTTCGCAATAGAGTTTCCCTAAAATGAGGTTGTAGATTGAAGTTGTTACCTGATAGTATAAAGTCCACAGTTCAGCAATCATTACGCGAGAAGCTATAGTTCTTGTCACTACGATACACATACCTTGCTCCACCGGAATACTTCTCCATCATCAAACTCTAAGTTAAGGACACCAACTGGATCAAGTTGAATTGATGGACCCCAAAATTTATTTTTTAAAGTAGTATCTCCCCACATTTTCCAACCACGTCCTTCACAATGGCAAGCAAGAGTCAAGGGGTGATGACTTACCTATCTCAACAGGGAAAAAGAGCACTTTATCAAACTTTAATGTCATTTTGTTGAGAAAAGAAAGCATGACATCCATCCAATATGATCATAGGGAGTCAAAATCTATGAGACCAGAAGCACAACATATAACTATCTCGAACACGAGGAAAAGGGACCATTTCCTGCTGCTAAGAGTACCTTCTCTGAGATGAAACGCAGTCCCTTGTCTGGGTAATTGGCTTCATACGTCTCGCCCAACAATGGATTGAATGGCTTGAATCTTCTACCATCCGTACAAGCATATCCAGATACAGCAAATGCTGCTACATTCAGCATCCTCATAAAGCTATTACCCTACAAAAAATTTCGAATCTTTCACTATCTCAAAAGGCCTAGGTGGAAAACATATTGTATTCTCAATGAAATGCATGCTTACTGTTTTTCCCCATTCATAAGCTTGATCAAGAAGGTAAGAATACTCAAAATCTTCAAAACATTTCTGCAGAGAAGAGAGCGGTTCGTTGAAGTACACAGGAAGACAAACTCTAGTTAGATCCTTTCCAATGTTATCTTTGATCATTGACCATAGGCTTACTCCCTTTTCCTCTTCAACTGGATTAGGCAATTTCTCTCTTCGCTTTATATACGGATAGTCACATTCAACAAATCTCATAAAAGAACTAAGACCATCTTCAGATGGATGAACCTCCTCATTCTCAGAATCAGAAGACGAGCTTTCATCATAAGGCTCGGTGCTTCTTAACGAACTAGAGGAAAGAAAATCTTTAGCATCAAAAAACAAGTTATCGGTGTGAACATCATCCTCAGTTTCCGCTTGCCTATACTGCTCTTCATATGATCCACTCGCGTTCCTTCCTGGAGATACTTGAAGAAACCAAATTACTTAGAGAACATACACCCCATATAATACAGGCTACAAGTTACTCTAAGTGAGAATCCAAAACAGAAAATGTGGACATGAAAACAAGGCCTAAATCTACTTTTAGAAAGAAAGTTAGAAAACTTAAGCCTAAGAATCAAAAATTAGACCATAAATTTATGGCTGCAAATTACATACAAAACAATTTCTCGCTTATCATTACTTAAACATCAAAACCAATTCTTAGACATTGCAGTTAAATGTATGAAGTAGCACTTGAACAACAACAACAAACCTAGTGGAATCTGGGGGAAGGTAATGTGTACGCACGACCTTACCCCTACCTTAAAAGGGTAGAGAGGTTGTTTCTGGCGGACTCGACTAAAAAAAATGAAAAAAAGAAGCAGTAGCAACAAGCTGTAACACCAGCTATCAGGTTGTAAGAACATTGAAACGAAAGAAACAACACATAGTAATAGGAATCTACAACTAAGTAGCACTTAAAACCATGAGAAAATCAAGTAAAGAACAGAATAAAGGAACAGAGAAAAAGAAAGAACAATATATTCATGGCTAGAGTTTTCCAAAAGATTCATGTTATTAACCTTTCATCTTGCTCTCTTGAGTTGCAACCTTGCAATTAGTGTTCATTCTTGGCATATGAACAAAATCATTTGTTAAATATGACTTCTTAGCTGCAACCAATCCTTCCAACCATGTTAATCTGTCCTCTTTAGTCTCTGCCCTCAAATGCAGCTTCTTCTTCCCAGCATTTATCAAAAACCGCCGTTCATCTGAACAACTTCCCATTACTGATGACACCTATACAGACAGTAGTATTAACTAAAATATCCCTCCCAAAATAAAAATTCATGTTATCAATAAAAATTTGATCTTAGCAGACAACTTTTCTCTAGTGAAACATGGCTTAAGAACATACAACTCCCTCAATACTATTTTGTATGATTCATTATATTTTATCCTTAATAACATGTTGTTCCTATGTAGTCATGCAAATATTATGACATGTTTAACAGCACAAGCTATGTATAAGTCAAACGTCTTTCATTCTTTTTTAAACTCCATGTCCAGTCAACTACGTACACCCAAAGGCGGACCAAGGATTTGCAGGTGACGGGGACACATGAGCGAACTGCTGACCTAGTGCCCCATAGACTGTTAACCTTAAGGGTTTCGAGCAAAATACATGACCGCTTTCAACATATGTACACTTATATATCCAGAATTTGCTGAAGTTAACGTGGTTCAGTGACTCCTCCTCTCCTAGCATAGGTCCGGCTCTGCGTATACCTCAATCGCAAATAAGTTGGAGCCAGCTATTCCTCAACAACCATGTTACTCTATCTGAACTCATCTCATACCAATATTATGCAAATACAAATAAAAAGTATTTGAAGTTTTCTATATTTTTCTTAGCTTCGTGCCTAGTCAAACATATAAAATGAAACAAAGGGAATGTCATCTTCTATAAAATTTCTAAAAAATAAATTAATATAGGTCAAGATTCGAGCCGTTGAAGCAGCCACTAATATTTGCATTAAGATAGGTTGTCTACATCATACCCCGTGGGGGTGCAACCCTTCCTCGAACCCTACGTGAATACGTAATGCCTTGTGCACGGGGCTGCCCTTCTAAAAATATAAATTAACATTTCAGATAATTAAAAAATTTATATCGGAATTAAGACCCAAATTAGATCTTTTGGCGGAATTAAAAAATTTATATTGTATTCCAAAAACCATCAATTTTCTTTTAGAACAAGGGCAAAAAACACAATCCAGAAAGCATAGTCTGTTTTTGCAAAAGAACATTATCATCTAATTAATCTCTATAAATAAGATACCTGGATTTGACGTAATGGTTTGCGGCCGAGGGATTTGTAAGGGGTTGATTTAGAGCTATTAATAAACCGAAATGATTTCTTCCCTATAACATTGAATCCTTTTACCATTTCTAAATTAATCACAATTTTCTTGTGTCCATGAATTTTGTAATACGAAAGCACACCATCATGTAGAACAAACCAACGGGGCCGCCACCCTTTACCAAAATTTACCCATTTGTATAGTATTCCACAAATTCCATTCCCTAGATTATCACTTTCGTTCATCGGAGCAGCCGCGTGCGGTGGACGACGACGTACTGCCGCCGTGTTTTTGTCAGCCACGGCGGTGACACAGCATAAAAGATGCATGATTTTTTGGTTACAACACAAAAGATGCATGATTTTGATGAGTAAATCTTAATGTGATCGAAATAAGAGAATTCTACGTAATCCAAGAGGAAAAAAATATGATGAATTTATCCGAAGTTATCTGCACGGGAAATTTTGCCGCGGAAATCGGCGATTTTAAATACTTGCGTGTATTTTGGGCGCTGAGAAATTATTTATCCTTTTCTCAATTTTCATTGATCATTGAATTTCTTAAAGTACTGAATACAGATCACACATAATTTTTTCGAGCAAATCACTTTTTGAAAGTGGACCTTTATTCTAATAATCTAAAGAATTGCTAAAAATATAAGGGACAAAGTGCACAAGTAGCCATTTAGGACGATATTTAAAGAATAATCGAAATTTATAAAATCTTAAAATTTAGTCGTCTCATAATTAATTTCAAATATGTTGATCTATAATTGAGAATCACAGGTTAAAGTTAAGTTATAGTCAATGCCTAACTTCAGACTATACATACAAACCTCAGACCTCAAAGTCAAAGGCGGGCTTACGTTGTATAGTGAGGGGCATCGAACCCCATAAACTTTGAGAATAACTTGGTATATACATATAAATATCTACAAGAAAGTAATATTTGACGGCTAACTTTAGAGTATACATACAAACCTCAGACCTCAAAACTAAAGGCGAGCTTATGTTAGTCATGAGGGACACCACAACCCGTAAAATTTGAGAAAAATTAATTATATACATATAAATACCTATAAGAAAATTAATATAGAAACTACGGCATCCTTAGTACTCACTAGTGCATTGGTTGGGAGGAAGTTTTGTAAGCCCTTTCTTGTGTTGTAACCAAGGTTCGAATCTCCCTAAAGCCATTATTTATGTGTATATATAATGCAAAGGCGCACATAAAATGAAAAAAGTATTGAAGGCAAACTATTAAATCTAAGAAACAATATCTCAAATTTGAGTTATGCTTTTTCACAAACTTCACTAATTGATAGGATCACCTTTTTAATTTTGTTGATATTTTCATTCGCAATTTTCTTTTAATTTAATTCAATAGAATCGAATGGAAAGAAAAGATTTAATGAACTGATATAATGTCGTTATGTTTATTGGTAATTTTAAAAAATATACAACCTATTCAACTAAATTTAAATTAATCTTGAATCGATCAACTGATCAAATATACTTTCTATTATCGATCTTTATGACCGATAATAGATTTACATTGAACGTAACGGTGTACTAAAATCTTTAAATTCTGTGTTCACCTCTGCTCAAAGGTAGATTTTGTTCAAGCTCGACTTATTAAATGTGTAAAAAGAATTGCATTGTCATCATTATTCTAAGACTTCTGTCCTATATTTCATTTCTGAAAGAGGTTCTGGGGCAATTATCCCAAAATAAAAAAAGTATATAGGACCATAACAACTGAAAAAAAAAACCTAAATCACCTAAATATAATTATAAGACAATTCAGTGGAGGAAATAGAGAAGAAAAAAAATAAAAAATATCGCGTTGCCCTAGTTCTCACGATATACCCCACACCCCACCCCACCCCCTCAAATTTCTCAAAGTTGCGCCACTGTTGCCCTTTCTTTTTTCTCTCTCGCGTTCTTCTCTAAGGTATGTTCCAAAGGTATTAATTTTTTAAAATTTTATTGCGATTCAATCTGAATTTTAATGATTCAAGCTTGCGCTTACTTAAAGTTTTGTTTGTTTTAGTTATTTCATTGTATTTGATTGAATCTACTGGATTAAGCATCATTATATAGCGTTGAAAATATAGATCTATGCAATTTGCTTCTACGTTCAGTTAATTTGACTGATTTGTATTGGATCTAAATAAGAAATTGGATAATTTTTCGCAATTTGCTAAACAATTGCTAAAAGAAGCATGAAATTTTCAAAAGTTTGATCAATAAAAATTACACTTTTTATATGATAAATATTATAAAACGGCGATTTTATGCTTGTAGTATTCGCATAGTGTCTATTTGAAATTTGTAAGTGTTCGAATTTAACAATGGAGTAATATGTTTGCACTTCTGGTATTTAGAGATTGGTGCCTTGGTATATTATTATACACATATACTTGTGTTATTATGATTGGAATGTAAAAAATTGAATTTCAAAACATTTTTCACAATTTATACAACCCTGTTTTGTATTTTCTACAGTTATTATTTTAGTTTTGTGTAGATAAGATACTGTCTTTACAGAACTGTAGTTCCTATGCCTACACCTCTGAACAGAAATTGATTTTCCTGTGTCGCATTTCATAAGCTAGTAATAGCTTGGTGTGCAACTTCCGTAGATTTATTTACACTTAAATCCTTGTAAAAAGTGTACTATTAGATATTGGTGTTGGTAGAACTTGATTTGAGCTTCCACTGAATATGATATTCTTTGCCTTGTGGATTGTTGTTTACAGTCGTGTATTTATCCTTATTTTGAAGTGACATTTGATTTTATAAGACAAATCTGCATTTAACAATGCCTTGTGAGTCCTTAAGTTGATTTGATATCAAGGAGAAATATGTCTGACCCTTTGAATCCCTTTCATTAGGTTCTTTGATATATGGTAATGTAAATGCTCCTGTTTTCCAGCATAAATTATATGGTGCTGAATAGATGTTGCAGGTGTTTGGTTTGTTTTTTAATGCTTGACATTTGTTAGTCTCTAGAAGGTTGAAACTGTTGTATCTTGGTTTTTCATGTATTCTACTTGTTCAGGAGTTTGCTTATGTCTCCTATCAATCTGATGATTTTCTGTTTGAACTGCAGTTCTGTATACAATGTCGGATGGTCAGGAGAGTGATAAGAACATTGAAATATGGAAGATTAAAAAACTTATCAAGGCACTGGAAGCTGCTAGAGGCAATGGCACCAGCATGATTTCACTTATCATGCCTCCACGTGATCAAGTATCTCGTGTTACCAAGATGCTTGGAGATGAATTTGGAACAGCGTCAAACATTAAGAGCAGAGTGAATCGGCAATCTGTGCTTGGTGCAATCACATCTGCTCAGCAGAGGCTTAAACTCTACAACAAGGTTCCACCGAATGGGCTTGTCCTTTACACTGGAACAATTGTGACTGATGATGGGAAAGAGAAGAAGGTTACAATTGATTTTGAGCCCTTCAAGCCCATAAATGCATCACTCTATCTTTGTGATAACAAGTTCCACACAGAAGCTTTGAATGAACTTTTGGAATCTGATGACAAATTTGGATTTATAGTGATGGACGGCAATGGTACTCTTTTTGGGACATTGAGTGGAAACACCCGAGAGGTCCTTCATAAGTTTAGCGTTGATTTGCCCAAAAAGCACGGAAGAGGAGGACAATCAGCCTTGCGTTTCGCTCGTCTCCGAATGGAGAAACGGCACAACTATGTGAGAAAGACAGCAGAGCTTGCAACTCAATTTTATATAAATCCTGCCACCAGCCAGCCCAATGTTTCTGGCCTGATTTTAGCTGGATCTGCTGACTTTAAAACAGAGCTCAGTCAGTCTGATATGTTTGATCCTCGTCTTCAGGCAAAGATTTTAAATGTGGTTGACGTTTCTTATGGAGGGGAAAATGGTTTCAACCAAGCAATTGAGCTGTCTGCTGAGATCTTAGCCAATGTGAAGTTTATACAAGAGAAGAAATTGATAGGCAAGTACTTTGAGGAGATTAGTCAGGACACTGGGAAGTATGTCTTTGGTGTTGATGATACATTGAAAGTTCTGGAAATGGGTGCTATTGAGACGCTTATTGTGTGGGAAAATCTGGATATTACAAGGTATGTGCTGAAAAATAGCAGTTCTGGAGAAACTATCATCAAACACTTGAACAAAGAGCAGGATGCTGATCAGAGTAACTTCCGTGATCCTGCTACAAATGCCGAATTAGAGGTTCAGGACAAGTTGTCGCTGCTTGAGTGGTTTGCTAATGAGTACAGGAGATTTGGTTGCAGTCTGGAATTTGTCACTAACAAGTCACAAGAAGGATCTCAGTTTTGCCGAGGTTTTGGTGGCATTGGAGGAATTCTCCGCTATCAGCTGGATGTTCGGGCTTTTGATGAGCTCTCTGATGATGGGGAAGTTTACGAAGACTCTGACTAGCAATTACCAACCTCTCAAATACCAGTGCAGCTGTGGAGCGGGAAGCCTGCACTGGTGTCGCAAGGGCTGTCGGCCGCTCATGTTCTAAGTGAAATATTTCTAGGAGCCCTTAAGGTCAGTTGGAACAACCCATTTTGTTTGTTCTATCAGTCTCTTTTCTTCGCATGTAATGACTCAAGAAGGTCGTCAGTGGTGTATATTTATTGTTTCTAATCACTTTCTTCCTAATTGCTTTAAACAGATGGATGACCTGCATGGAGAACACAAATTGCCATCAATTTCATCGCTTGTGCAATCGTGTTCAATTCCAGAGTGATTCAGGCTGTTGAATGAAAGGAGAACAAGATCTCGCAGTGGCAGTTAGTTTCCCATTGAAGACGGAGAACCTTATCAGAAAAATTTATGCTATGCGCTTCTTGGAGGAGTGAGATGCATATGAATAAGTTTATTTTTCTTATATTAAGTGTGACTATAACTCTGCGTAAGTTAGTATATTTAATTTCGATTATTTATTCATGTCATGGGATTTTTTATGATTGGTATATGCTGAGACGATATAGACCATATAAGTACTGTATTTTTGGAATTGCTAGCACTTGTACTAGTACGGTTTTGTCATCCCGGTCCCTCTACTCTACAAAGTTTCAACCAGACACTTGAACTCATGCAAAACAGAACTTTTAAATACCTCTTACCTTTGACCGAGTACATGTGGCAACAAAAAATTGAGCTGGACAAAAGGGGTGTAATTTACACCGCCCAAAAAGAAAAAACCAAAGCAATCCCTTATTGAAAGCGTCTGTTTTTGCCATCAAAAACTTTTTTCCCTATGATTTGATTTAATTTTTGAGTTTTTCTTTTTTCAATTTCTGATGAGAAGGCCTGAATTCATGGATTTCCGAGGTTAGTATAAATAATCACTTGCTTGTTTACTTTTTGCTGTTAAGTGGAGTCAAAATAATCAATTG